ATAGTATTATATGTATATAAATTAATAAATATAACCATACATAAATTTTGTATTCTATATAATATTCTGAAAAATCATGCATACCGCGCGCGCTATACCCCGAGATAATATGCACTTTCCTCGATATTTTGAATGATGTCCCCAGATAAGGGCATCCCTTGACCTTACACGTGCCTCCCTCGTTCCGATCCCGGACAATGTAGAAAGACAAACCAGGCGCTCGCATCGGAGGCGCCGCGCGCCGTGGAATTTAACGCGGCTGATAAAAACGGCAAACAAGTAGGCACAAATAAATCGCATCGCTGGCGAAATGAGGCGGCGCCGCTGTGCTTATATGTACGTAAACGCGATAAAAAGCTACTGAATACAGCGCGGCATTATGCCGCAAATAAACCGTTTCGGATAACAGTTGCTAATTAGACGAATAAAAGTATATTGCGTCACTTGCCGCAACGATTTTTTCATTACACGTTTTGCATATTTAGCGCACAACGATAGGATATCAAATGTACAGGATGTTAAAAGAAGGACTTAAGATTTCTAGAGCATTATTAATTATTACGTACATTTATTTGTTCATTTTTATCTGAATCATATCTTTTTTACCGTTTTTCTATTATTTTGTGTATCTGATGGCAATAGGAAAACGTTAAGATAACAATAATTAATTAACACGTAATTAAACGCTTGCCACAGAAATAATGCAATAGCGAATGTTTCGAACGAAATGTTTGTTGGTAAGAGAATCGAGAATTAATCTCGTGCCCGCTCATATGTTTTCTTTAAATTATCTCCTTCAACGAATGTACCGAATGCGCGCCTATTATTCGCAGTCTGTGCGAACAGGGACAGATTGACGAGAAGAATTTATGTTTACCAGCTGAGAAAGTTCAAGTAGGACAGTGCCACCCGACGATTGTGTTGTTCATAAATCACATTGGCGCTGGAAAAGTCGAGATCGAATAGCAAATTTCGAGTGCTACTCTCATCGTTAACGCCCTAAAGAGATACAGTCGATTTTTGTCAACGTTAAAAAAGTATCATCACGTTGCTATACATAATACGTTGTGCACCTACACACAACAGCCCAATGAGAATTTCCAGGGACAGCGTCAAGGCAATCAGCGAGGAAAATCTGGTACGTAATACCCAAGAGAGAATAAAGAATTTGATGTAAAAGTTTTAGGGTCCTCCGAAAATGCGTTCGCAAAAAATGTATTATATTTCTCAAGTGACGTAATTACATATATATGCGGATAACTACAGTTTCGAACCAAAATACTTTTAAATTCCGATTCTGCTTTTAGAAAAATGTATATTTAAAAAAATATACATTTTTAAAAATCTCGGTCAATTCTAAAACAAAAAAATACTCTTTTAAAATACTTTCTTCGGTGAGTCTTTCATCCAAATATATTTCAGCAGCGATAATAATATAGTGTCGATATTGTTTAAACTATTAACGATGTTTAATACTTTGCTTACGCAATTGCCGGAACGGAATTTTTCAATCAGGTTTTTGTTCCGAAGCGAGATTTATATTTTATCTTGACACGCCGTTTTCTGTTCAGTGAAATTACAACATTCCGTTCCTCGAATTTATTGTTGATACTAATATATAAAAATTCAGATAAACAGAATAAATTCATTATACTCCGGTTTGAATCTTTGATAAAGAAATATAAATATAAATATAAATATAAATATAAGTACGGGCACATATTTGAGCATATTCCATCTTTAGGTAGCATTAAATACGGCCTTCTGATTCTAAACAATATTTGCCTATTACGAAGAGTGCGTTCAATATTATCATAACCTAGGAATTACACGGCCTTATAGAGTCCTAAATTTAAGATGTGAATACGAGTCAAAGTACATATGTAGATCGCCTTTATGTACTCGTATAATGATCAAACACGCAGCGATCTATTCGTTTGCATCATCAAAACATGATGATATCATAACGATATTCAGTTCAAGTACACGCGAACTTCAAATTTAATTTATTGCAAAGAGCTCGATAAAGATAGATAATCTCTATTTGTATAAGATTTTACTAATTTGCTCTTCTGTTTATAAATAATTTATAAATAATTTAAAATAGTATAAAGAATATTAAATTAGTAAATTGACCGCACATATATGTGTATTTATGTCACGATCATGTAACGGCTCTCATTATCCCGAAATCTGCTTCTTTCAGCTGGGCTGCACCACGGCAGACAGAGAAGGTACGTTCCGCTTGATACTTCGCCATGACATAGATATTGAGAAAATTAACGCCTTAACTAATTGCCACAATATATTTCGTAAGCATATAGAAAAAAGAAAAGGTAACGCTTTTTTGCGTTAAAAATAATAAGTACATATATAAATGCGCTATCGTTCAATAAATGGATACTTTTCAAAAAATGCATTATATTTAAATGCTGATTGCGGTTTAGATATAGAAATCTGATTAAAATTACATTATGATATATAATTGAATTTGTTTTATCGTTAAACAACACAATGCTAAGAAACGTTTTAGAAGAAAATGTTTGAAACTAAATAAATAACATTTTTGTGAAGTAATCCATTATATATAGTATATAAAATAAGTTACTTCACAACTATCTAAAAAAAAAGTACTTAAGCAAACGTAAATACATTAATTAAGGCGTTTATGACATTATTTAATATACTTTAAGACGCGTATTTCAATGAAGTCGACTCCCCCCTATCTGACTGTTGTCGCAATCGATGTTTCCTCGTGATCTCTCAAGATCAAGAGAAATCTGACCGATATTCATTGTTCCGAGAGGAGCAATGGGAACGCCTCCGTCGCTGATTAGAATAGTAGATCTCAGCGTTAACGATCGCTGACGCGTTCCGAAATTCTCTCGAAATTTCGTGGCGCCAATCACGGGAGTCGAATTTCTGAGGGCAACGAGTAAACGTGTGGCTCCGAGACCAGTGCCTATCACCTAAGGTCGACCTGTTAATGCATAATCGAGACAATCTTGTGAAAACGAAAAACGCGAGAAGATCCAGTCGTGCGTTTGTAACGGACATGAGTCAGTGAAATTCTCTGAACTAACGATAAAAGAGCATATTATTGCGTTCGATAGTTTTCTTGCACACGTTTCTCTTCTTCCCTCTTCGGTTTTGATGCTCACCAATACACAGAACATCTTCTAATCAAGATCGAATATTAAGAAGGAAGATCGTTGTACTTCGTAAGAATATACAGGTATGAAGGAAAATTATTTTGATTCTCTCACATACAAATACGCACAAACAATTAACATAATGGAAAGCTTTCAGTATCAGATGAAGCAATTTTTTTAAGAATGAGATACACGGAAAGAATAGTTTTGCTGAAGAATCTAAAAATTTAGCTAGATACAGATCTGAAAATAATTTTGCTAAACCATCAAAATAATGATGTAGAACACTCAAACTGATTGCTATAAATGTCAAAATTTTTTACAGGTTTATTATTATACTTCAACGACCTACTGTAATTATTTTGATGGTGCAACAAAATTATTTTCAGATCTGTATCTGGCTAAATATTTAGCTACTTTAACAAAACTTTTCCGTACGTGTACGATTAATTGATAAATAGTCATATCGTAAAAATATTGCCTTAAATTTCTTTGAATATTTATACATTCTAAAATAATATATTTATATATTTATCAATATTCAAAGTCTTTATTATTCATTATTCGCGGATAAGTTTTACTCAGAATTGTGTATATGATGCAGTAATTGTGTATTACTTACGATATGACACAATAACCATAAAAGAGACACGCGAGCAATATGACGACGTAATCTTAATCGATCATTATCAATCGTCATTTTACTGTGAAAGTACACGCGTGTAATTTAATAGCGGAGAGGAAGATTTAAATAACATCGGCGAATGAACGCTGAACTCTCGTTCGTTATCATCGGCACTGATGTAACCAGTCGCGGTAAAATGTTACTGGCTATGGCAATGTGTCTCACTATCTACGCAATTCGCTCTCCCGCGACATGTGACATCACGCTATACGGATCCAAAGAGAGTAGACACGTCACGCAGCGAAACGAATCTTTTAAATTCGTCGTGTCTCGCACGAAGGATCTGCGACTGGCGCACGTGTGTCGCGGAAAGGAGCCGCACGTTGCATTATGCGCCCGTTTATCGCCGCGTACACTTGCGGTTCGCGGAACCACGCGTGCGTTCGAATAATTATCGAACCGGCGATTGGCGTGAGTACAACAGAATTCAACTAACCGAACTACTACTTCGACCATTCGTACTCCTTTTATCTTATTTGTCATTATGGTGAAAGTTATCAATCGTATGTGCTACGATCAATAATTATCAAATCGGTGTGTGACAATGTGAATCTGTAAGAATTATTTGAATGTATATTTGACGACTTTATACTTAAAGAATTATTGATATTTAAATATTTAATTATTCAATTTTACGTGCTCCATTTTGCAGAGAATCGCCATTGTACATTTATTAATTTCTTAATTATATTCTTTAATTTATTATTTTTAAATATCAGAATTCAAGTATCGCGATTACAACAGTTTATTATTCTTCAGAAGAGGATAAAGGATAAAGGAATAAAGAATAATAAACTGTTGTAATTGAGATACTTGAATCTTAAAAAAATATGAAATTACGAACCATGTATTCTACGACTCACTTCACAATGCAACTAATTACGATAAAGAAATAATGATCACTTATACACATTGTAGATATGTCGCTAAAGACATACTCAATATCATGTAATATTCTCTGATCAGGCCTTTCCTTCTGCTACTGGTATACACAGCGTCATTTGATGAGGCGTATCTCTCTATTGATGTAATATCAATCGTGTCGTTGCGATTCGCTTATCTATTATCTCAAAGACCAATTAGCGACGCTCGACAGTATCCCAATAAGAAATGTAAAGTCTTAAAAGTAAGCCGTGCGCGTATCAGGTGACACATCAGCCGCGTATTATGCCCATTAAAAATTATCACCTTTGAAAATATTGAATTAGAATATTGGCCAATTACCAGCATCTACGAGTATCGTTGCAAGCATGCGCTTAGTTATCAGATCTTCTTAGACCGTGAAAGACTAGTCTCGTGCTTATCACATCGCGAGTAGAGACGCGAATAATCATCGAGTCCCGAGATACCGTGAGAGAGACGTTTTCGCGATGTCAACAGGTAGTTTGTGATCGAAATAGTAAGAATTCTGACACTATCGGATAATCGATTTGATCGCAACGATGATTATTGTCAACTATTGTCTCTATTAGAATGCCGCTTTGTTGAGTTAATCGTAAACAAGCAGACTTACACTCATTGTCAGATTTCAATTTGTCCGTCTTTGAACGCGTATGATTTAGCATAAAAATTAATGATTCTCAAAAGTTACTGCTATTACATTTAAATTTGACTTAAATTAAATTAAATCTTTCCTTAAAAATAATTTAACACAATTTAATTAAAATAATGGCAGATTTTCTATATACATATATATATTTTTTTTAATCTCGGATTTATTCAAATAATATTCAGAAAAATGATAGATAATTATTTATTTTACGAAGAAACTCGTTTTCGACATTATATTGTCAACATTAAATATTAATGATTCGTAGTAATATTATAATTTAATAAATTAATATATTTATCAATTTTCATAATTATTAACATTTATGTATTTTTTATGTATTATTTTTTTTATTTCTATTCTCTGCGCATTCATCTTTTGAATCAACGCGATCCATACTTGGCAATTTAATTTTTCCAAAAACAGTTGCTCCAAATATTTACCGTTATAACTTATCGAGCGATCGAATCAAACAATCCCGTCATATCACTCAACTGCATTATCGTTTACTCGATCAAGTTCTTCTGACAGCGCCAGCCATATGAACCTAATCTCCTTATAATACTCGTTTCGGTTTACATCGAGCAAACAAAATTTGCTTACGCCAACCTTAACCTGATGGAAAATTCGCAAGATTGATAAATTGCACTCGATATATGTATGAGCCTTTCTGGAAATTACATCCCGTCTCACTTCGATGAAATACGCATCATTCATTAAGCACAATATATTAAGCACACTTGACACACACTTGGCACACTCAACATGCATAAATACGTTGCATGTATAAAAACAGATGCTTTCCATTTAACTCGTAACCTGGATCATATTCTGGCTTTTCTGACATCACTGATAGTTTTGCTATCAGTTATCAAGAACTTTTTTATGTTATAAATTCAATTTTGCAAACTAATTCCTTATTTTATACACAGTTTCTTGTATCAAAATATCAGAAATTCGTGTCTTCGAATACAGTACCTACATCTTTATCTGCTATTGCATTTTAGTGCTATGAGGAAAAATACTACACGATGTGTTTGTTGTTTGACTGAAAAGCCACGTTCCACGTTACGAGCTAAATCGAAGCTTTTTCAAATCGGACACGTTGTCTGATGATATATAATGATGAACGATAAACACAATAATTTATTCATTAACATCTGCGGAAAATGCGTGATAATGCGCGCACATATGCGACACGTGGGCGCGCGCGCACGCAGAGTGTGATCTCACCCAATTGTTGCTCATTCGCAGACTACTTGAGCGACGATATGTCGACGACTGCCCCGGAATTGATGGTCAGACGACCGGTCTACCAGCAGGACGAGCTTAATCACTTGTGCAAATACGTAAAGCCCAAGAGAATTCGTAAGTGTCAAGATCTATTCACGTACGTGAGTATGTACACGGCACGCGCAGATAGATCGCTTATTTTCCTTTCACCGCGCTTGCCTTTTACTCCGAGTTCCGACACACCGCGTGTTTTCACGAGAGACCGCTTCTCCACGTGACAATCTGCTCGAAACATTGGCCGAAACATTTTACGTCAATAGTATAGAACCGGTTGAAGTTTATAAATCGGTTAGAAGATAACGCAATAGGATTCCACCGAAGGCCATTGCCCTCTTCGATAAATTAAACGACTCCGAATCTGCGTGAGAAAACTAAGAGTTTAAACTTGTGGAATTAAATCCGTATAATTCTATTAAATTGTAATACTTTTTGATAATAAACTCAAATATGTTTTAAAAGATCTAAAATAATGTTCTCTTAAAGTCTATTTTAAATAAAAAAGATAAAATTTTGTAATTTTTTTTTATATATTGTTGAAATTTTTACAAGACAAATATACCGGGTACTGAATATCTTATACATTTCGGAATAATATATTCCGATTGCTTTTTTCATTGTTTGTTTTATTTAAACATAGCATCAAAGTTATTTAAGAAAAGACTTAAATGTCTGATAATACTCTCATTAAACGAAGAAAAAATAGCTAATATTAAACATAGATCGAAAAATTAATCAGATTGAGATAGAAGCGATTTTAGTAATATCATGTGCCTTATTTTGCATAAATCGATTCTTAATTCTCGTTATTCTACACATAAAAGTATCAAGGCTAGATAATCGAAAAGGCCATTACCTTCTTTGGAAAGCTAAATTGTGCCACATGAATAATTTACAAGAAATTTCATATCTCATATGTCAGAAAATGTATTCAAATAAAATATTTCAGAACAAAATATCACGTTAAGTATCCTTTTCCTGGCATATTCTCTAATTAATTGTAATACTTTCCAATAATGAAAACAATTTTTTGTATACAAAATAATTAGAAAAATCGATTTATGTAAAAGTAATTATATGGATATATATATCTATCACCTACTAATTGTAAGATAGAAAATCTATCTCTGATAGAATTAATTTTTCAACCATGTCGATTAAAAACTTTTTACTTACAAACAGTTTTTGATTACTATTTGCTTCTTAAATCCTAAACTTTTTTATCAAAACTGTGTGTGCGTACATCATATATGTATAAAATTATAGATATATAAAATTTATAATTCTGTAGTTCGCAATGAGATATCAAAAAGATGCAAGAGTATCAAACCAGTAGCACTTTTAAAGAAAACGATACCTTTGACTGACTGGCTGTTTTCGTATGACTGGAAGAATAATATCTTGGGAGATATTGTTGCTGGAATTACTGTTGCTGTAATGCATATTCCACAAGGTATGTTGCATTGAATTCTTATAACAATGATACAGGATAAATTAAGTAACACTCAAAAAAAAAAGAAAGAAGAGAGGAGAGAGAAAGAAACAGCTGAATAAATTAGGATTGAAAAGAAATGGAAGAGAATGTTAAATTTTTTAATGGAAGAACGGAATATTTTATAGATTAGCAGATATCCATAATCTACAATTAGTGAAACAAAATTATTATTACAAAGAAAATATATTTTCTATAAATGGTACTATTCATGACTCACAAAACCGAGTTAATTAATATTGCCACCGAAAGATAGAGTGTTTTCAAGATATTTTAGTCTTTATTATAATGTAATCGATATTATATATTCTCACACAGGTATGGCGTATGCAATACTGGGTAACGTTCCGCCGATTGTTGGCATATACATGGCTTTCTTTCCAGTTTTGGTGTATTTTCTTCTAGGCACATCCAGACACAATTCCATGGGTACGTGTGACAATTGCGTAGATTATATTTTTAAGAAAGGTATTAAAGAGCATAGAAGAAAAAAAAAAAAATGCGGCGGATGATATAATCTGTAGGAAGCTAAAGATTTGTCGAAATTAGTGTATAATTATGCACTAACGTTTATTCAGATATTACATTTGGCTGCTGCCGCTCAATTCAGAAAGCCTCGTAATTAAGCAGGATTGCCGCTTTTCTGTTGATTAAGGTACGTTTGCGCTCGTCTGCATGATGACTGGCAAAGTCGTTACGACATACAGTAGCCCTGCAGTTTCGACAAATAACACGTCAGCCGAGAACGGCACCTTAATTTCCGACGTAAACCATCAATATTCGCCAGTGGAAGTTGCAACCGTAGTCACATTCACGGTTGCCGTTATACAGGTAACTATACACCGTGTACAACTCATTGCCGTTGAGATGCTTTCTACGAAGATTACAATTCCTTTCGACATATATATTTTCCTCCACTTTTAATTTTTTATTCGCTAAATCTCTTTTTTTTTTATTTTACTTGACCTTAAATAATGCAACAAAATACTGACAGTTTTTATATCTAATCTATAAGACGTATCAACTTTCTTCGTCATTTATAAATCGTATTATTTTTTTTTTTTTAATTACAGTATTTAGTGAAAGTTTATATATATTTAAATAGAAAAATTTTAATTTTATTGCATTTAGTTTTAGATGTAGAAATATTTTTGCGTGCTATTATGTATTGCTTGCGCTTAGAATTAATAAATTTTAGAATTAATAATTAATAAATTTAGAACTAATAAATGTTAGTTAATTAGTTTTCTTGCGTAAGGAAACTATGCTTCAGTTTTACATTAATTTATTTTTCACAACACCTCCACGGAAAGTTCGACTTTCCATGCCTGTAGAGAGGGGCGAAAGTGACCAATTTCACGCCAGAACGGCATTAGCGAGACGAAAGTAACCACTTTCCTCCCTAGGGCGGAAAGTGATCACTTTCCGCCCTAGGGAGGAAAGTGGTTACTTTCGTCCCGCTATGCCGTCCTGGCGTGAATTGCGTGAAATGGCCACTCTCGCCTCTCTCTAGGCATGGAGGTCGAACTTTCCGTAAAGATATTGTGAAAAATATCGTGTGCACCTCGGGGAGAAAGCTTTTTCAGACTCGTGTGATTTGCCGCCCGAGCCGAAGGCTCGGGCGACAAACTTCACACTCGTCTGAAAAACGCTACTTTCGCCCCTTGGTGCACAATATACTATTTTTAACATTTTAATTTTGAATTTTTTTCCTCTGTATTACATTTTTAAGACAAACTCAATTTACGAAATCATGTATATATACGTGTTTAGCATTTTCCGGTTCGTTCGTTTTAATTATCATCCCCATAGCTGCATATTCGTACAGTACATTTCGCTCTCTTGACCTCTCGCGGTATCACTCAAAATCTCTCGTCTAGTTAGGAATGTACGTGCTGCGTTTGGGTATAATCTCATCTCTCCTCGCGGACAGTCTCGTGAGTGGATTCACGACGGCAGCGGCGATACACGTATTTACATCACAAATAAAAGATCTCTTTGGACTAAACAACCTACCACAGCGCAACGGTGCATTCAAACTTATTCTCGTAAGTACAGTAACAATTAAGTTTTGTTTGACGCTACAAACATTAGTGCAGTTTTCTCTTTCTGAGACATATCGCTTCCGATATGCTTCACCTTGTTTTTCTTTCTTTTTTTCCTTTCGTCGGGAAACAAAACGTTTGCACATGCCAAATATTTAAGTGGCAAACGCTTCTCGTATCCCCATGCAATCAAATTGTAATTTAAACGTCGAGAAAGTATCACGTAATGTATTGTGAAAATTATGCGCTACTGCAAAAGGTCAGGGTTAGTATTTGCGTCGCGCTCTATGATAACTCGCTATTTTTTACAGTACAAAGACGGATTAACGAAAATATATGGATTAAAGCAATCCCAAATTATACTTCAAATAAAATCACCTTCAAATTTTCTTATTCTTGAACGTAATCATTACTGCTGGAGGATATCGTAATACCTATAACAAAATGGCATAAAAACAAAGCATGTATATGCACATGTATGTATATGCACAAAACATGTTGCTTCGTTGCATTAACTTTCTCACGAGAAGACTAATCGCGCATCGACCGAAGTACTTTCTCAGCAGAAAAGGTATACATATACGTAATAGTTAACAAACAATTTTCTATTACGTACCTATGTCGCATACTTCTGTTGCATACTTTTCCGAGTCAGTTACAAATATAAAACGCGAACCGAAGTAGTACATAAGATATATTAACGACGCTTCCACATCCGTTTACTCTAAATACGTCCATGTACATACTTGTCACTCTATAATATAAACCGCGATCCCTTTCTTATATGGCTTCCATTCTGATAATTTATTGAGACCAAATTAAAATTTTATTTTATTTAAAAATATTAATTTAATATCTTTTATTTAATTTACATACGTAAAGATTGCTATTACTTCAAGACAAAAATAATAAATTTAAATAAATTTTTGTAAATTTAACTTCTATAAAATATAGGTTATGTGGAATATACTTAAATTTCCATATATAATATATATATATATATATATATATATATGGGGCATTCTCCGTGAAATCAGACAC